TTCACACACACAAGAAAGAATATGCAAATGAGTGATTAAAGTACAAAAAGGTACTCAATTTAGTTGTTCACCAGGAAAATATAAGTTAACACCCAGTGAAATACCAATACCCACTTATCAGCATGGCTAACATTTTAAAAGCAAACAATACAAAATGTTAGTGAGGCTTTGGAGCAATTAGAACTCATGTACATTGCCGCTGAGTATAAACTGATACTGACGCTTTAAAAACTGGCAATATCTATTAAAGTTTAAACATATGTTTACCCATGATCAAATATACCCAATCCTATACCTAATAAACATTTGTACATCTGTTTACTAAAGATATAGACAAGAATGTCCGAAGCAGCATCATTCATAATAGCCAAAAAATTGGAAACATCACAAATGCTCATTGGCAGTAGAATGAATAAATCAATGGTGGCTCACTGATATATCAGAGTAACATTCAGCAATAAAAATGAACAAATGATTGCTGCATACACGAATAAGTCACAAATTTAATGTTGAACCAGAAAAAAAGCCAGACACAAAAGAGTACACACTGTATGGTCCCATGTATATAAAGTTCAAGACCAGGCAAAACTAGTTTCTGGTGATGGAAGCTGGAATACTGGATGCTTTCAGGGGCTAATGACAGGGAGCAGGCATGCGGAGGGCTTCTGAGGTGCTGAGAATTTTCTACCTCTTGATCTGTGTGATGGTAACGTGGATGTGTTCACATGGTGAAAACTCATTTAACTGCACACCTATGACTTGTGAACTTTTCTGTATGTATGTTTTATTTTGACAAAAAGTTTGTTAAGCTCAAAACAAAAACCTTTTTTTTAGGCTAGGGCTTACAAACAAATGTGAACTGAAAGCGCCAGCCAATCCTTCAAATTGAATCCTCTGTTAGGCCTTTCTTGCACTGTTATAAAGAAATACCCAACACTGGGTAATTTATAAAGGAAAGAGGTCTAATTGGCTCACTGCTTCACAGGCTCTACAGGAAACACAGTGCTGGCATCGGCTTGGCCTTGGGGAGGACTTGGGACTTTTGCAATCATGGCAGAAGGCAGAGGGGGAGGAGGCAGGCACACTCCATGGTGAAAGCAGGAGAGAAAATTACAGGGGAAGTGCCACTCTTTTCAATGACCAGATCTCAGGTGAATTCATTATCACCAAGACAGCACCAAGCCATGAGGAAGCTGCCCCAACACACCTCCCAGCAGGCCTCACCTCCAGCACTGGGGATTACAACTCAACTTGAGATCTGGGCAGGGACACAGCTCCAAACTCTATCAGATCCCAACTGGGTAACTGGGCCTAAGTTTTAAATAGAGCCAAGCAGCCAGTTGCTGACTAGAGGTCACATGTGTACTGTGAGTTTCTGAAAACCCTCATCTCTGCTTAATTTTGGAACTTTCAACTCTCATCTGAACAAACTAGTCAAGTCTCTGCTTTATCAACCAGTCAGGGCTCAGCTGCACCAGCCAATCAGAACTAAGCAAGTTTGAATGCTTCTGTTGCATAAATGAATCTGATTGGGGACCTGAGTGGGAAATCTCTCTACATAGAAGCCAAATTCCGTATTTGTCCTCTGGAATGCACCTTCCAAAGGCTATGCATCAAAAGCTGCAGTCTCCCCAGTTTGCAAACTGTTCATTGGAATAAAGTCTCCTTCCTCAAATTCCTCTTCAGAGAACTTTTGTTCACAGGCTTAATAGGGTAATGGTGGTCACATGAACGTGCAGACACTATGCATGAGCTGAAGGGGGAAGAAGAAAAGAGGAAAGGAAACCAGCGGGGAAGGGTGCGTAAAGTTGGGGGTGATTTATACTTGAAAAAGGCCAAACCCTTAAGTCAAAGGCAAGAGTTTATTCTCCTAACCACCCTTCTTTTTATCCCTTGCCAGCAGCCTGGAAGTTCCACACTGTCAGGAATAAGTTCCATTTGTCTTTGCATCCTCCAGCTCCCTCCCTGGTATCCACACAGTAGCAAGGGTTCTGTAAACAGCCTTAGATCTTGCTCTTGAGAACTCACACATGATGGATGAAACAAAAGAAAATACAGATCCAATGCTAACTGAATAGCTCACAAGTTCATTTAAAATCAAACTTCTTTCAGAGGGACAGCTGCAGGAAGGTTGTTGTTATGGAATGGTTCAGCTTCATCTGGCTTATCCAAAAAGGAAAGCCTTTGCTACCACACAGGGCCAGGCCTGCAGACCCTAGAACCCTGAACACCACTCCTGAGACATGAATAGCACCGAAGGCCCCAGAACAGGCAGCCAAAGGACTAGGCCTTCCGCTGATGCAAGGATTTCAGAGTTAAACTTGTAGGTATATAAGAGTGAGGCATTTAAAACAGCCTGCTTTCCAATGAGCTGGAATTAAATGCGTATATTATCCCATCAGAGGCTCTCACTAGGAGGGGATAACCTATGTCCCTGATCACTGAGGGGATGGTGTCCTCATTCCTACCCACTTGTCATGCCTCCCACATGTCTGTATGACATTGACCTGAAACCACCTTTGCAAAATTATGACAGAGAAATATGACATAGTTGACTCCATCTTACTTCTAACCTCCAATCTCTCCTTGGTCATTCTTGTGTGTAGACCAAGCTGAATTTGGGACATATTTATAGTTTAACCTTAAAGCAAGGATAATAGCCCTTCTTAAAATGAAAGCATCTTTATAAAGCTAATGAAAGGCTCCCAGGTTAGCATTATAAAAGGGGCTTGAATTCTGCTAAGATGTTGGCATAGTTACTCCTTACTGTTTGGGAGTCATGTGACTAGAGGTCACAAGATTTGTGACTTCCCTAATTACTTCTATAGAGAACATCACTATTATAGAACCTAAGAATTTTTTTTGAGATATCTTTCAGACTAACCCCACCCAGACTCCTGGCTTAACTCATCCTGTGGCCCTACCCAAAGGTGGACATGAGAACCACCTTCCAAAACCTTATGACTTCATCCCCAACCAGTCAACATTTGCCATTCCCGTGTCCCCTGCCCACCAAACTGTCTTGAAAACCGCTAATCTCCAAGACTTTGAAGTGACTGACTTGAGTAATAACTCTGTCTTCCACCTGGTGTGGCCCATCTCACATCAATGAAACTTTCTTTACTGCAATGCCGTAGTCTCTGCGGATTGATTTTGTCTGTGCAGTGGGCAGGAAGACCTTGTTGGGCAATTACAGACCTTCCAACCTGAAGGATGAGAAGACAGCCTTCTGGGGCTGATAAAAACTTCTCACTCTTCCCCTTCTGTTATGGGCTGAATTTTCTCTCCCCCACCATCAAATTCATATGTTGAAGTCCTAACCCCCAGGACCTCATAATGTAACTGCATTTAGAGATAGGACCTTTAAATAGGTCATTAAAATAAGCTGAGGTCATATAGGTGGGCCTTAATCTGATCTGACTGGATTCCTTAAAAGATGAGGAAATTTGGACACACAAGAGGACACCAGGGACACTCATGCACAGAGGAAAGGCCATGATAGGACACAGAGAGAAGATGGCCATCTGCAGGCCAAGGAGTGAGGGCACAGAAGAAGCAAACTCTGCCAACACCTTGATCTTGAAATTCCAGCCTCCAGCACGGTGAGACAATTTATTTCTCTTGTTTAAGCTACCCAATCTGTGGTAATTGTTTTTTGTTGTTGTTTGTTTTTTGGTATATTTTTTGTTTGTTTGTTTGTTCTGAGATGGAGTCTTGCTCTGTCACCTAGGCTGGAGTGTAGTGGCACATTCATGGCTCACTACAACCTCTACTTCCCGGGTTTGAGTGATTCTCCTGCCTCAGCCTCCTGAATAGTTGGGATTACAGGCATATGCCGCCACACCCAGCTAATATTTGTATTTTTAGTAGAGATGGGGTTTCACCATGTTGCCCAGGCTGGTCTTGAACTCCTGGTCTCAAGCCATCCATCCATCTTGGCCTCCCAAAATGTTGGGATTACGGGCGTGAACCACCACGCTCGGCCCAGTCTGTGGCATTTGTTATGACGGCCCAAGCAAACCAACACATGCCTTCCCAGCTTTTATTTCTCATGGGCATGGTGCCTCCTCTTGGCCTGCTGCTGATTCCTAATGCCAGACCAACAAGGCTCTGCTCACCCAGTTTTGAGCCTTACCCCACTGCTGGCTTTGCTCTGCTCTTCCTTATCCTTCTGGCCTCCTTTCTAATACTGCCCCAGGGCAACTCCACATCTGGCTACTCCTGGCTCTTACTCTTAAGCCCAACCCAGACCAGCAGCCACCAAGACCCATTGTCCCTCCTGTATGCAGCCTTTGTCTGACAGGCCACGTGGTACTGAACACTTGTGGGATCAGAGAAAGCAAGAGGGAGTTTGAGGCATTTCAGAGGATGGCAAGAGACGGAGGCCTTTCTCCTTTCTCTTCACCCCCTCCAAGAGCTTCCCACAGGTTGAGAAATATTGTTATGGTCCAAAACAGAAGGTGTAATTTGGCTATATTCTCAGATTTTACTCCTGTGGGTTAGTAAAACAGATGGAGGGCTGTCCAAGTCGAGGAGAAAGCCAGCCTCATTCAGAATGATCTTTTCAATGCTCTAAAGCCTGGAACAGACTTGTCTTTACTAATTCTCACCCTGAGAGCCAGGAGACCAAAGGACTCATTGGGATAGCCCCATGTGACAGTGGGGATGTTAAACCAACAGCTCCCCCAGGCTGAGTCAGGCTTAGGGGTCTGCTTTGTGCACAGAGACCCTGTTGATGTCTTATGACCCGCTTGGGATTATTTGGGGGAAATTGAAAAAGAGAAAAAAATCTCATTGCTTCCTATTAAGATGCCACCAGATGATCTCCTGGCTGAGCTCGTTGGCTTCTTTCTCACAATAATAAAACTTATATATATATACCTCATTTCATTTTTAAAGACGGTGGATATTGAAATGCCAAAGCTCAGATTGGGCTGCATGCTAAATCTCAAAATTTTCAGACGGTTTAATCTGGATAAAGACAAACAGTTTGGACTCACCTCAATGCACATCTGATCCAAGGAGGTGATGACTTTACAGCTGGCAGAAAACAGCACCACCAAAAAGAAGCAGCTGCAGTCAAAAGCCATTGTAGGACCAGTGCAATCCCAGCGTGTTGGGTTTACCTAATGCTTGGAGCTGAGAAACTATGAAGGCCCTGAAGCTATCAAGCTATGAAGGTGCTGGCAATTTGGCAGCCAGAGAGGTAGTCAGAAGGGTGATCTTGGAGCAAGAAATGCTGTTGACTGCTCAGCATTCTGTGACTCTGTGCTTCAAAAAAAAAAAAAAGGAAGTCTCTTTTGCATACCACCCATCTTTGCCAAAAATAACTGAGGACCCAGCCCCAGAATGGCCCAGTGCATTTCCTACCACGGAGCATGAATCAGTTGTGCAGTCCCTTTGGGCTGATCACACAGACTCATTGTGATGGTTCCAATTGACTTTATGTCGACTTCAAGCATTTGGCCAACTCCAACAGCTCTGGTCCTTTTCCCCGAGAAGGCTGTGGAAGCTCTGCCCACCAAGGAGGTCACTTTCTTAGTTATCCTAGGTGAGTGAGTAGAAGAGGTGTTGGAGAACATTGGAAGGGGCAGAGCACTCTGTGTGGGCAGATTAAAGAACTGAGCCCTTCATGGCACCTGCTGAGCTGGGAGCTGGAGCAATAGGAAGCAGGCTTGAGAATGTATCTGCCCCTTGAGCCTCAGCTGCTGCCTTGGCCACCTTGGCTATCCCCACCTTGGCCATCCCCACCTCTGGTCTTTGTGTAGGAGGAAGATGATTTCATCTCTTGACCTGGTGGTTCAGGCTTGTTAAAGCAGTTGGGGTGAACTCCCCTCTTGTTCCTTCCTAACCTGGCCTGGGGAAGGAGGAAACACTGCTATAGACAGAGCAGCCTGGCTAGGGGACAGCAGAGTTAGGGATGCCAGCCTTGGCTCTGTTTCTTCTTACAAATAGTTTTGAAGCAGGATTGCAATTACCCTTATCATGGAGCAAGGTGTGGCAATGAAAGAAAGTCAAAGATCAAACATTCCTCAATAGGCTGCATTTAGCTACCTGTTCTATCTGTTCTCCAGCCCTCTGGAATACAGGATATATTTCATGTTGCTGTTCTCCCACTCCATGTCCAAGAACCCAGTTCTCAGTATCAGAGTTCACAATGACTCGAGTACTACTACCACTACTGCCACCACAGCTACTGTATTACTATGATGAAGAAAATGACTGTAGTATCTGCCATTTATCGAGTCCTTACTATGTGTCAGACACTGGGTCAGGTTTAATTTTTGGTTTTTGCTGCATTTCCCTGTCCTCAAATATTTCCACGTATTCCATACAAGAGATATTATTATTTCTCTCATTTTACAGATGTAGAAACTGATGCTTAGAGAAATTAAATGACCTCTCCAAGGCACACAATTAGAAAGTGGTGCTCTAGGGCTTCAGATCCAGAAAACCTCACCGCAGAGACTGTGCTACTACTCTTCATGGTTTAAGAAAGGATTTCGCCTCTGGAAGGAGCTGAAGAGTAGATGAGGTGAAGAATGATGTTCATTTGAAGATTTCAGAGAAGATGCCAAAAAGCAGAGGGGATTGGAGGAAATATGTACTTGGCACTCTGCTGGGGCTGCTACACATATTTGGGCTTTTCCCAATCACTCTTAAAATGCCATCTTCATCAACAAAGTAATCTCTGAAGGTGCCATCAGCAAGACACAGTCTAAGCAACCCCCGACCAATGACAGATCACCTTGCTTCAAAGAAGACATCCATCAGTGTGCAATGGTAAGAGCTGAGGACTGGGAAAGGTTTAGTGCTAGACCTGAGATCCTTGCTTGCCAACTGAGTGACCTTGGGCAAGTCACTTCACTTCTCTAAGTCTGTTTTCCCATCTGAAAAACAAGAATTAGAATTCGTGTTCTGCCTACATCACCGGGTAATTATGAGGATCAAATAGGATCATATCTGTGAAAATGCTTTCCTTAAAGTCCCACATAAATATGCAGAATGTGAAGCAAAGACTGAGTAACAAATTCTGATGTCATGTAAATATCACTCTCAGGAAATTGTCTCTTGCCCCAGAGATGCCGAAAGGCATATTACTTTCCTTCTTAAAGAAAGGTCTGATGGCTCAGTTAAGGCCATCAGATTTTGTCATTTTCTGAGGCTACATCATTTGCATATGATTTGCATGTGTTTGCATAATGATTCAAAAGACTCACTGCAAGTATATAAGAGTAAAAGAAAATGAATGAATATGAGTGACCTTCTGCCACAGCATTCAAATCACATATTCAGGGCATAAGACTCTGAAATATGAAATAGATTAAAATTTAAACTATTACAAACAGATGAGAAGATAGGTTTTAGAGTTTAGAGGCAAGAACGAAACTCTTATTTGGTCCCAGAATTTGGATATAAAGAATCACATGCTCTTACAGGTCACCCCATCCAAATGATTTTCATGCTTGAATTCTCTCCTACACACCCCTTAATTCACCCCTCTCTGTAGACAAAAACATACTGAGTTATTTTTCAGGCTATTCTGAAATGCCTCAGGTGACAGAAAACACATCATTCCTCACCCTTCAATGGTTTTGGCCAGTTTTGATTGTTCAAAAGGTTTTATCTGACATTGAACTTTTAAAGTCTCCTTTGGCTAACAGAGTAAGTTCAAGGCCTTTTCTACCTTCAGGTATTCCCTGAATCTTTCCCTTTCTAGGCTAAAAATCTCTAGTTCCTCAAACTATGCCATAAATTAATGTATTGCAACCTCTAGCAGACTGTTTATCTAAATGTTTTCTCAATTGCCCAAGGCAAGCACTGACTTGAATTTTAATCCTAGCTTTGCCACTCACGGTGTGTGTCACTGGGGCAGTCTCTCTGAGCCTCAGTTTGCTTATCTGCAAAATGATGGAGTTGAACTAGCTTATCAACAAGGTACTTCTTTATTTAAATCTCCATTACTTTATTTCAAAACTATGATTTCCAATTTACTTTTGTAATAGAATTTTTGGCTTGAGCCAATAATATTGAGTTACCCTCGATTTGCCTCACATCTTCTTGGCAAACAAAAATTACAGAGAGAAGTTTGGCTGAGTGATGGGCGCCGTGATTTCTGTAATCCCAGTTGACTCACAATGCCATTGAGGGATAAAATTGCCAACCCCCATGCTGAGAACCAGTTCTTGCAGAGATATGGAGAGGGAGAAGGGAACATGAGAAAACACACCAGAAATGTTTTATTTCTACTGACTAGCATCCATGTCAGTGAGGAAACAGCAGACTGTGGACCCCAGAAGTTTTCAAAAGTTCAAACACCCTTATATTAGATATTAACATATATTTATATACAAATCCCAAATCATTGTTTTTGTGGTGTGCTGTCTTTTATTCTACTACATTTAAATGCAGTTTGTCCCCTGTGGTCAGCTGTCTCCCCATGGGTGACCCCATAGAACTACCGAATTTCCTGTCTGGTGAGGCCCATACATTCACTTTTTTGTTGCCATGTATTTATAATCTGGGAGTGGTCTAGGGTCCTAGGATACCTTATTTGGCCCTTCAGTCTCATTCCTGGTGATAACTCAAAGGAAATTTACCTCAAAAGACTAATTTACTTTCTTTCAAGGATGTGCAAACCAAAATATACTTTTGTGATCTAAGTTTAGCCAAAAACTAGATATTTTTAAAATAATTTCATTAGATAATTAAAACAAGTAATTTATGTTATATCTTATGGACACGAGCTGGTATTAAACTGACCTATATTTTTACCCTCTGTACATTTAGTTGTAGTTCTGCTTTTTGTTCAAGCCTGCTTTCCTACATTCCTGCCTCTAGATGGTTAAATTTATTTGCTTCTAAAATTTTACACGAATATTTTAAATATTGTATAGTCAATTTTACTCTATATTGTTATATTTCCCAATATGTTTATTTATTTTATTTTATTTTATTATTATTATTTCCAGATGAAGTCTCGTTCTGTCACCCAGGCTGGAGTGCATTGGTACAATATTGACTCACTGCAGCCTCACCTCCTGGGTTCAAGAGATTCTCCTGCCTCAGCCTCCTGAGTAGCCGGGATTACAGGTGTGTGCCACCATGTCTGGCTAATTTTTATATTTTTGGTAGATACGGGATCCACTATATTGGCCAAGATGGTCTCGAACTCCTGACCTCAGGTGATCCACCTGCCTTGGCCTCCCAAAGTGCTGGGATTACAGGTGTGAGCCACCATGTCCGGCCTGTTTTTTTTTTTAAATCAAATTATTATAACCCAAAGTTCAGAGCCATAAAGGCCCAAAGTTAAGCCCACCTCTCTCTGAGGGTTATTGTTGTGCTGCTTCATGAGCGCACCAGAATCGAGCCCTCTGTTCCTCTACTCCTGCTTTCTTGTCATGCTGTTTATGCTTCTGTCTCCGTGGTTGATGATACCTATGAGGCCACCAGGCTAGACAGAGCAAGTGATGCGGATACCCTTCTCACAGCTTGAGAGGAAACCAGGCTCTCCTCAAGTCTGGCATGGTTTTATAGGGGAAGAAAGACTTTCCCTCTACCTTCTTTTGTTCTCAGACTGTGGCCTGTCAACTGAACTGGCAAAAGACAGATTAACAGGAGATAAAGCATAATAATTTTATTTGATTATAATATTTTTATGTGGCACAAGGGCTTCCTAGAAAGATGGGAAGATCCCAAGCTGGTGGTTAGACCCAGAGGCTTACATACCATTTTAACAAGGAGCAATCAATTGTGGAATTGTGACAAGACAAAGAAAAGGGATTTGAGCTAGGAGCAGTGAACTGTGGGAAAGTGACTGGGAAATGCATGGGGGGAACTAATGAAAGGCAAGGGTTAAGTAAGTTCTGTTTTGACTCTTTGTCTCCAGTGAGAAGAACATTCTCTTATTCCTAGTACAGGAAGGGGAGCTGTCTTATGGGAAATTTATGCCCTATTTTTAGGTAAAAATGGGGAGACCAGGAAGCCCTTCTGGCATCTGCGATTTCTTAATTACCTTCAGGTCAAAATAATCAACACATCAAAGTGGTGTATTTTGGGGTGTTACGTTCCGGTCCTCTTCAATTTGACCTTCAATTTCAAGCTCAGCTGTGTACTTTTGAAGCTGGACAGCCCTGCGATGCTGACCCTCATCCAGAACTATTTCTCTTTGCTTTTTTCTTTCTTTGCTCTTGTTGCCCAGGCTGGAGTGCAACTGTATGATAGCTCACTGCAACTTCCATGTCCCAGGTTCAAGCAATTCTCCTGCCTC